AAAATAAGAAAGAAAGAAAACTAGAGAAGCAAACAGAAAACAGGGATTTTGTTGTATCATGCTGACTAAATTATGAGCTTTTTTTTTTTAAATTTTTTGAGATGGAGTTTCGCTCTGTCGCCCGGGCTGGAGTGCAGTGGCGCGATCTCCGCTCACTGCAAGCTCTGCCGCCTCCTGGGTTCATGCCATTCTCCTGCCTCAGCCTCCCGAGAAGCTGGGACTACAGATGCCTGCCACCACACCCGGCTAATTTTTTTTTTTGTATTTTTAGTATAGATGGGGTTTCACCATGTTTGCCAGGATGGTCTCAATCTCCTGACCTTGTGATCTGCCCGCCTCAGCCTCCCAAAGTGCTGGGATTACCGGCGTGAGCCACCGCGCCCGGCCACTATGAGCTTCTTGAGACGGGGTAGTGTCTGATTCATGAACACATACACACACAGGAATACCTTCTGCGCCCCACAAGCACGTCAAGTCCCTTAGCAAGTACTGGAAGAGTAGGTCACCTCCAGAGAAGGAAGTTGTATGGCTCATCCCCCTCCTACCCCAGGATCAGGGGCGTGTTCATCTCTCCAGCCCCCTCAGAGCCCAGCTACCTCACAGACATCTCTGGGACAGTGGGAAGCTTAAGAGGGAGTCAGGGTGTTGGACTTCAGGGTTCAGGAAGGGCTAGTCCCTCCCCAATCCAGCTGCCAGCCCTGGGGAAAAGATGATTAATAAAGGTTCCTGTTTACTAAGTACCTGGAACATTCCAGGCACAATGACAAAGACTTAGTGTGCCACAACCTACTTAATTTCTAAAAACAAAACCCCAGGGAGATTATGGTCTCAGTGTGACAGAGGAGGAAACAGAGGGTCTGAGAGGTGAAGCCACTTACCTAGCATCACCCCATACAGCGCTGGGGTTCTAGCTCTGGTTGGATCCCAGTGCCTTGGAGCTTATCCCCTATACTCTCGCTGCACTACAAGCTCATGAGGGCACAGGCTGCGGTTGTCATGGTTATGATTATGTCCCCACCCAGCACATGGCCTGGCACACAAAAGATGCTCCAGAAACATTCTTTGATGCTTGGACTGAAGGATGTTAGTCGAGACTTTTTTAATCGTAATTTTTTTTTTTTTTTTGAGACGGGATCTCACTCTGTTGCCCAGGCTGGAGTGCAGAGGTGTGATCGTGGCTCACTGCAACCTCTGCCTCCCAGGCTCAAGTGATCCTCCTGCTTTAGCCTCCCGACTAGCTGGAAAACAGGCATATACCACCATACCTGGCTAATTCTTTTTTCCTTTTAGTAGAGACGAGGTCTCACTATGTTGCCCAGGGTGGTCTCAAATTTCTGGGCTCAAGCAATCTTCCCGCCTCAGCCTCCCCAAGTGCTGGGATTACAGGCATGAGCCTATAATCTACTCAAAATACAGAAATGAGCCAGGCGTGATGGTGGGCGCCTGGTGTCTCAGCTACTCAGGAGGTTGAGGCAGGACAATCACTTGAACCCAGGAAGCAAAGGCTGCAGTGAACCTGGCCCCTTAGTCATAAATTTAATATCTTCTCTCTCTGTTTTATGCTAGCTCTGGGCCAGGCACAGTGGCTCATGCTTGTAATCCCAGCACTTTGGGAGGCTGAAGTGAGCGGATCACCTCAGGTCAGGAGCTCAGAACCAGCCTGGCCAACGTAGTGAAACCCTGTCTCTACTAAAAATACAAAAATTAGCCAGGTGTGGTGTCGTGCGCTTGTAGTCCCAGCTACTTGGGAGGCCGAGGCAGGAGAATCACTTGAATCTGGGAAGCCGAGGCTGCAGTGAGCCAAGATCTCGCCACTGCACTCCAGCCTGGGCAACAGAGCGAAACTCCGGTCCCTCACCACCACCCCCACAAAAAAAAGTTAGATCTGATGGCTTCTCTGGGCTTTCTCAGACTTTCTTCACGATGGCCTCAGCTTATATGCCCCATCCTCCAGGAAGCCCTCTCTGATACCCTATGTCTGGCCAGTGACCTCCTCTGGGCTCACACATCCTCCTGACCACTCTGAACTGTGACTGTCTGCTGATAGGTCTGTCTCTTATGGGCCTGGGAGCTCCATGAGTGTCTTGGTCACTGCTGTTTCCCCAGCAAAGTTAACATAGGACAAAACACATAGTAGGGGCTTAGGGAGTGATTTTTGTCTGAGTAGAAGAACAGGATAGCACACCTGTAATTCGAGCACTTTGGGAGGCCGAGGCAGGAGGATCGCTTGAGCCCAGGAGTTCAAGGCCAGCCTGGGCAAGATAGCGAGACCCCGTCCCTAGCAAAAAAAAGAAAAAGGAACATAATTTAAAAAAAAGAAAGACAGCATGGTGAGAAGGAAGGAAGGAGGAAAGAGAGAAAGGAAGCTGAGCCTTTACGGTCAGATGGGATTTCAAAATTAAGGGAGAAGGAAGCAGGAGTATGCTGGGCAGTGGGAATGGCTTGAGCAATGCATGGAGGCAGGATGACAGCAGGGTGTTCAAGGAACAGCGTGTACTCAGGCCTAGTTACAGCAGAGGGGGTCAGGAGGAGGGAAGGAAGCCGATTCTGGGAAGGCGCCTAGAGACCGGAGACCGGAGGTTCTGAACGCAGCAATGAGCCCCTGACTGCTCTCAGAGAGGGTACCTGAGCAGACAGAGCTGGGCCATAGAGGCAGATTCTGGAAGGATGAGAAAAAAACTGAAGATAGGGAGGCCTGGGAGGGAGACAAGTTAGGAACAGATCCACACACTACAGAGTTTAAATGACGGGTTTGAAACTCAGTCAGAACTGAGTTAGAATCCTGGCTCTGACTTGATGTGGCCCACCCTAAGCAAAAAGAATCTCACCTCTCTATGCCTCAGCTTCCCCATCTGTTTTTTTGAGACTGAGTCTTGCTCTATCACCCAGGTTGGAGGGCAGTGGTGCAATCTCAGCTACTGCAACCTCTGCCTCCCACATTCAAGCAATTCTCCTGCCTCAGCCTCCGAGTAGCTGGGATTACAGGTGCACACCATCACACACCTGGCTAATTTTTGTATTTTAGTAGAGACAGGGTTTACCATGTTGGCCAGGCTAGTCTTGAACTCCTGACCTTAGGTGAGCCCCCTGCCTCGGCCTCCCAAAGTGCTGGGATTACAGGTTTGGACCACTGAGCCTGGCCCCCATCTGTTGAATGGAGACAATCTCACTGCTGTCGTAAGGATTCAAAGTTAACACATACAAAGCCCTTAATTGAGACAGATGCTATTTTGAGATAAAAAATGACAGAAAAAAGTTTAACAACAAAAAAGACCAAAAAAAAAAAAAGGAAGAAGAAAAAACTTAAAACAGTGCCTGGTGTACAGTAAGGATTAGAATCCAATCTGCATTTTCCAAGGTGTATATCCTTGGACAAGTGACTTGACCCCTCTGTGCCTCAATTTCCTCATCCGTAAAAGGGGATAATAATAGTATCTACCTCAGCCAGGCGCAGTGGCACATGCCGGTAATTCCAGCACTCTGGGAGGCCGGGGCAGGTGGATAACTTGAGGTCAGGAGTTTTGAGGCCAGCTGGCCAACATGATGAAACCCCGTCTCTACTCAAAATACAGAAATGAGCCAGGAGTGATGGCGGGTGCCTGGTGTCTCAGCTACTCAGGAGGCTGAGGCAGGAGAATCACTTGAACCCGGGAAGCAAAGGCTGCAGGGAGCCGGGATCGCACCACTGCACTCCAGCCTGGGCAACAGAGGGAGACTGTCTCAAATTTTAAAAAAAAAAGCATCTACCTCATTAGCACTGCTGTGAGGAGTGAGTTAATAAAAGCACAACACTTAGCACAGGGCTAAACATGAGTGAGTGCTAGTTGTTGTTGTTGTTGTTATTATTATTATTATTATTCACCCACTTCCAGCCCAGCTGTTCTGAGATGCCAAGGAAGTGAGAGGGCAGGCAGAGAGAAAAAAGCAATGGGGCCCAGGAGTGTCAGCCTCTGCGCACGGGCACAGGCAGGTTAAGGCAGGTCTGTCTCTCACAGCTAGGGCGACATGTGTGAACACGTCCCCAAGGAAGGCATGTGGGGTGAGGGGGGCTCAGAGCAGACTCCAGCCAGAGGCCCCAGAGCAATGAGAGGCCTCAGCTGGCAAGCTGGCAAGCTGATGGACTCCCAACTTCGCTCCCAGCCCCACGTGAAGCTCTCCAGTTTCACACCGGCCTCTGCTCTGTCCCGCCCTCCCTCAACCTGCCCGGCCAGCCCTCCTGATTCACCAGGGGAGAGCCACACCCAAGCTGGGGGTGAGGGTGGATGAAGTAAACAAGAGTGTGCAGGGGGCTCCTTGGGGACCTAGGGTCACAGGGGACACCAGGTGAGCTCCCAGCTAGGCCAAGGATCGTTTGGCGTTTGGAGTTCACACAGCCCTTTTGCTAATCTGATGAAAGCTGGGGGAATCGTTTTGCTCCCTAGAAAAATGTACATACAAATGGGCTAAGGGGTGGTGTAGGTCAGTGACCCTTTAAGGCAGCCACAGGCCCCAGATTAAGAAATGTAGGGTAGAAAGTGCACCCTGCCTGTCTCCCTATTCCAGTGTTCTTCAGATTCCAGAGGATGAGACAGATGTCAGACCCTCGCTGCAACAATGTATGTGAACACGCACAGCAGTCTCCTTAGTCCTACAATTTCAGGGGCTCGTGGGCCCCTTGAAGTCGGTCAGTGGCCCTCCATTGTAGACCCCCAGGAGTGGAGACAGTGCAGGCAGAGGAAAGGCGAGAATGAAGAGGGGGTGCCTGTAATGAATTAGTAACCTGGCTGTCAGAGAGAGGAGGTCAGTGGATGGAAGAGGTTTCTGGAGATGAAATTGCTGGTGGGCAACTAAGAGTAAATGGGTAGAGAACTTCCTAAGCAAAGGCAGGGGAATAAGGAGTTTTGGGGGATGTGGCTCAAAAGGGCAGGATGGGTCCCACTCACCCCAGACCTGTCCTCGGGATCGCTGGCACCTCCGCCCCCGGCCACCACGTCATCCTCAGACTCGTCGAAAGAAGAGGCAGAGGAGAAGCCGCCACTGCTCCCCTCAACCCGGGAGGGGGGTCCCACTGATTGGGCCTCAGGCTCTGGGGTCTCAGGGGTGATGATGAGGCGGGGCACAGGGCACAGAGGGCTACACTTCAGGTCAGAGTACAGGTGAGTCACCAATTCCCCAGGTTCTGGTTCCTCTAATGGGCCATCCTCAGGCTCTCCCAAGAGGCAGTCTGTCCCAGGTGCTGTCTGGGAACCATCAGTGCTAGGTTGTGTCCAGGAGCCATCAGTATCCTGTTGTGTTTGGAAACCACCAGTGCCAGGCTGTTTCCTGGCTGTTTCAGTATCCTGTTTTTTCTGGGAGCCATCAGTGTACGGCTCTGTCCAGGGACCTTCAATATCCTGTTGTGTCCTGGAGTCATCAGTGTACAATTCTCTCCAGGAGCCATCAGCACTTGGCTCTTTTGAGGGACAGGCTCCTTCTGGGTGAGTCTGGAGGTTGGAACTGTTCTGGTGGGTCCAGAGGTTATCAGCCCAGGACTTGACCCTCTCTGGCTGAGTCTGTGACCCATGTGTTTCCAGCTCTGTCCAGGGCCTATCAATCCCTGGCTGTGTCCAGGGGCTGGCCTCCTCGGGCTGAAACTGGAGGTCGGACCTGCGCGGATCAGTCCAAAGGCCATCTGTCCCGGCCTCCGTCCAAGGACAGGTCGTCTCCAGCTCTGACCAGCTCCTTTCTGGATGCGTCTGGAGGCTGGACCTGTCTGGCTCCGTCTTTTGCTTGGGCCTCTCGGTCTCTACTCCAAGGCCAGCTGCCGAGGGCTCAGTCTGTCCGTCTGTCCAGAATTCTGTCTGCGAACTCTCTGTCCCGGGCGCAGGCCCGAGGCCGGCCCTCTCAGGCTCGCTGTGAAGGCTGGACCCCTCAGTCCGGGCCCAGGGCCCGCCCCCCTCCGGCCGCCCCGCCGGGGCCCCTGCGCCGGGCCCAGGTCGCTGCTGTCCCGGCTGCCGCCGCCGCCCTCCTCGCGGCGCCTCTAGTCCCATGCGGGCCGCCACGGGCAGCGCCCCAGCCTCCGCCTCGCTCAGGCTCCCACGGCACGGGCAGCGCCTCATGCCCGCTCCTTCGGTTCGGGCTTCGGCCGACCCGGCCACTCCTATCCCTTTAAATCCCGCGAGGGGTGTGGCTGGGGAGCCCCGACTCTCGGGTTCCGGCCCGCGGAGCTCCAGCCCGCCCCGCTGCGTAAGGGTTAACCGATACTCCCCTTACAGGGGAAAGCCCCGAAGCCCCGCCCCACCGGACGTGGCGCAATGGAACGAGACGGAGCCTCGTCTGACGCCGCCTCCCAAGAGGAGGGGGTTTGCCTCTGAGCGTCCGAAGCGCGACCAGGTATGCATCTAGGGCACTGGGGTCCTGGTGGCGCGCCAGTGGGCCCCTTCCCTCCACCCCTGTGACTAATCCACCCTCCCTACACGGTTGAATGACAAGTTCAACCTTCCCTAAAACCCCTGGTGACGAGTTCAGCCCTGCGCCCATTCTTCACGCAGGGGCGGGACAGACTTTCAAAGACTTGGAGATCCCACGGTTGTGGGTTCGAGACCTTCCTCTGCCAGTTCCCAGCTCCGCTACCCTGAGCAAATGACTTACCCTCCATTTAATTTTCCGTAAGAAATCTCTCTCATGTATAGAGCACTTGTTCTGTATCAGACCCTGACACGATTTCAGGTCATTCTCCAAGACTGAACAATAGGGATGCCAGGGCTCCATTTTACACATGAGGACGGAGGCTCAGAGATCCGCCGGCCTCTACCCTTTGTTTGCAGCTACGGGGCTATCTGATATGATCTCATATATGTGAAGCATGTGGCCCCAGGCCTGGCACTGTCAGTTGTAGCCCAGTGGGATTATTTATTGTCCTAGGTGATTTTGATATATTTTGCCCCTGAGGCTGAGCTGCCAGCCAGCTCCTGAGTCAGCCCTTCACGTCTGAAGGGGGACAGGAGGTGAATTGTCTTGAAATTGAATCAGCTGGGGGAGACACTGGGTACAGGTCCAAGGCTCTAAAATGAGTCACCTCTTCACAGACCAATGAGAAGTCAAAGGCAGGAGCCCACCCAGTACATCATACAGGTTGGGAAGGAGAAGTTCAGAGAGGGATGAGGGCTTTTCTGAGGTTACACAGTACGGGAGTAGAGACAAAGAGGCCTGATTCCCGACAACAGGGGTTGGGACAGCTGGGTTCTGTGGGGGAAGCATCGGCATCCCTACCTCTCCCAGTGGTGGGAAAGATGCCCCAACCAGCTGCTTCTATTCCAGACTGTGAGAAGTGGGTGAGTCAGCCTGTTGTGGGGATAGCAGACTTTCCAAGGCGCGCGCGCGCGCACACACACACACACACACACACACACACACACACACACGATGGGAGCTGGTTTTCTGGGATGCCAAGGTTCCTGACTCAGCACTGGGAATCTTGGCTGAGTGTGTTCTGGGAAATGTCAGGCCTACAGGAAGCAGAGGGCTCCCAGTCGCACCATCCCGCAAGTGGGCGGGGAGCGGAGAGAGCAGGGTGTGTGAGGGAACAGAGCCTCAGTGTGCAAGTGTGTGTGGGGGGGTATGTACACGAAAGAGTTGAAGGCGTGAGCGGGAAACAGTTGGCAAGCAAGGCAAGGGGTTTATATGCGCAAGGAAGGAGGTTGGGTGCCAGAATGTGGGTGTTTGTGCAAAGTGGAGGGGCTCCATGTGCAAGGGAAATGTTTGCTGGGAAGAATGTGTATTCATAGGAGATGTGTTGAGCCTGCCAAGGGTAAAAATAAGAAGGGGGGTTGGCAAGATAAGCGTGCAGAAGAGAGGCGTCAGGTTTGTAAGGGAGACTTTGCAAGAGTGTAGGGAACAGACGGGTCTGTCGCGTACAAGGCACTTTGAGGTGAGTGGAAGGGCAGACAGGGCACTCTTGCGCTCCCGCGATGCCTCAGCAATCCCCAAAGGTGGGCCCCCGGACGCCCACCCTAATTCCCGACTCCAACGCTCGGGCCTCGCTCCTGGCCCGTTCCCGCGCGCACAGATGGGGAAACTCCATGCCAGTCAGCGAGTTGCTGCCGCGCCATTGGTTGGCTGGCCGAAGGGGGCGGGCATGCTGAGGCTCCCGGAAGCACAGGAGGCCCCCAGCAAGTTGCGGAATCGGAGGCTGACAGCAGTGGGTGCTTAGCAACGGGTGGAGGTGCCCAGTAAGGGGGTGGGGATCGGGCGGGGGGACACCGGAGGAATTGCGGGTGCCTACAAGGCCAACAGAGGGGAAGGCGGTGCATAGCAACGAAGGGGGTTTCAGAGAAGTGGAGAGGTAGCCCCTGAGGAACTGTGGGTGTCTAGAAACGGGGGAGGACCCTAGCAACGGCGAGGGTTGGGAGAGGGGGAAAGTGGGTTTTGGGAGGCGCGCAGGAAGAGCTAAGGGTTCTTAGCAACCAGGAGAGAACCAGCAGAAACTGTGGGAATCTATTAATAGTGGAGGAAGTATTTGGTGGGTGGAAATCAGAAAGGGTGGACACAGAGGAACATGGGGGCCTGGCCAAGAAGCCAGGCAACTCCCACCTGAATAATCCCTCCTCTTCTCCTCCAGGCAATGTGGCTGAAGGTGGGGGGCCTACTTCGGGGGACCGGTGGACAGCTGGGCCAGACTGTTGGTCGGCCTTGTGGGGCCCTGGGGCCTGGGCCCCACCACTGGGTAAGAGGCTGGGGAGCAGGTCCCCAAGGGGAAGAGGCTGAGGGAGACTTCGTGGAGTAAAAGGACAGGAGGGGCCCAGAAGGGCCAGGTGATCCCATGTCCTCCCCTCCTAATCAAAGTATGTCTCTTGCAGGGGCCATGTGGAGGTTCTTGGGCCCAAAAGTTTTACCAGGGTGGGCCTGGGAGAGGCCTGGGTGAGGAGGACATTCGCAGGGCACGGGAGGCCCGTCCCAGGAAGACACCCCGGCTCCAGGTATCATTACCCCCACCCACCCAGCAACACCCCACGAAAACTGCTGGCCCCGTGAACTTGGGGAAGGGTGTGGTGGCAGGGTGGCTGCACTCTGGGCAGGATGTCCACTTTCCCACACTCAGACCTTGTCCCCATTTCCCAGCTGAGTGACCGCTCTCGAGAACGCAAGGTGCCTGCCTCCCGCATCAGCCGCTTGGCCAACTTTGGGGGTAGGTGTGACTTTGGGGGATCTTTGTGTGACCTCGATTAGAAGAGGCAACATTTACAGATTGAAGCAAGGGAGAGGATGAATCAGAGACAGGAAAGGGAGAGAGACAGAGAAAGAGAGACAAAGGCAGGGGCCTGCAAAGCCAAGAGAAATTGAGAGGAATGTAAATGATGATTTCTTTTTTTTTCTGAGACAGAGTCTCATTTTGTCACCCAAGCTGGAGTGCAGTGGCGCAATCACTGCAGCCTCAAACTCCTGGGTTCAAGCAATTATCTCGCCTCAGCCTCCTGAGTAGCTGGGACCACACTTGTGCACCATCACGCCCGGGTACTTTTTTTTTTCTTTGAGACAGTCTCGCTCTGTTGCCCAGGCTGGAGTGCAGTGGCACCATCTTGGCTCACTGCAACCTCTGCCTCCCACATTCAAGCAATTCTCCTGCCACAGCCTCCTGAGTAGCTGGAATTACAGGTGCCTGCCACCATGCCTGGTTATTTGTTTTTTGTTTTTTGTTTTTGAGATGGAGTCTCCCTCTGTCACCCAGGCTGGAGTGCAGTGGCGCCATCTTGGCTCATTGCAACCTCCACCTCCCAGGTTCAAGCCGATTCTCTTGCCTCAGCCTCCTGAGTGGCTGGGATTACAGGCATGCGTCCACCACTCCCCACTAATTTTTGTATTTTTAGTAGAGATGGGGTTTCACCATGTTGGTCAGGCAGTGGTAGAGCTTTGGCACCAGGCTGCCCAGGGATCAGGGGATGACTCTGCTATGTCCTCACTTTGTGATCTGCCTGCCTCGGCCTCCCCAAGTGCTGGGATTACAGGCGTGAGCCACCACGCCCGGCCGCCTGGCTAATTTTTGTACTTTTAGTAGAGATGGGATTTCACCGTGTTGGCCAGGCTGGTCTCGAACTCCTGACCTCAAGTGATCCACCCACCTCAGCCTTCCAAAGTGTTGGGATTACAGGCGTGAGCCACCCTGCCCGGCAAGCCACTGTGCCTGGCCCGGGTAATTAAAAAAAAATTTTTTTTTGTAGAGATTGGGTTTCCTGATGTTGCCCAAGTTGGTCTCAAACTCCTGGTCTCAAGCGATCCTCCTGCCTCGGCCACCCCAAGTGCTGGGGTTCTATACATGAACCACTGCTCCCGGCCATAACAACATTTACTGAGAACCTGTAAGGTGCAGTGCCCCATATACACACATGCTGCACTGAATCAATGAGTGTTTATTTCTATTCTGTAGATGAGGACATTGAGGCTAACAGAGGGGAGGTAACTTGACTTTGGGTTACATAGCCGGGTGTCATGCAGGTCACATGAAATAATTTAGTGGGTTGCAACCAGCATTTAAAAAGAAGAATAGGACAGAAAATATGCGTGCACCTGTAGAGCACGGGAAAGTCTTGTTTCATGAAACATATACCTTGGTCTGCACTGGTTATAATGTAAATGTCTTCTTTACTGCTGATCATGGTTCAAGTTTTTGTTTTTTGAGACAGCCTTGCTCTGTCACCCAGGCTGGAGTGCAGTGGTGCGATCTCAGCTCACTGCAACCTCCACCTCCTGGGTTCAAGCAATTCTCCTGGCGCAGCCTCCCAAGTAGCGGGGGTTACAGGTGCATGCCACCACTCCAAACTTGTTTTTTGTTTTTTTGTTTTTTGTTTTTTTGTATTTTAGTACAGACGGGGTTTCACCATGTTGGCCAGGATGTTCTCGATCTCCTGACCTCGTGATCCGCCCACCTTGGCCTCCCAAAGTGCCAGGATTACAGACATGAGCCACTGCACCTGGCTGCTAATTTCTGTATTTTTAGTAGAGATGGGGTTTCACCATGTTGGTCAGGCTGGTCTCAAACTCTTGATCTCGGGATCCACCTGCCTAAGCCTCCCAAAGTGCTGGGATTATAGGTGTGAGCTACCGCGGCCGGCCTGGTTCAGGTTTTAAAAATATAGATTCACTCGCTTGAACCCAGGAGGTGGACATTGCGGTGAGTCAAGATCGTGCCATTGCACTCCAGTCTGGGCAGCAAGAGTGAAACTCCATCTCAAAAAAAAATATATATATATGCATAGATAAATAGATAGATAGATTGATTCACAGTCTGCAGAGGTAGTCGAAGGCACTGGTTAGAGCTTTGGCACCAGGCTGCCCAGGGATCAAGGGATGACTCTGCTATGTCCTTGCTTTGTGACGTGACTCTCGGCAAATTATTTCACTTATCTGAACCTCAATTTCCTTTTCTGTAAAATGAAAGTTTTTCTGTAAAATATATTTTATGAAGGTGGAGACCTCATGTAAGGACAAAAATTAGTAAGTGCACAGAAGGCACTGGGAACAGCCTCTGACATGTAGAAAGGACACAGAAAATGCCAGGTATGGTAATTGACAGAGATGGTGACAACAAAAGGAGAGAGACCTGAGATGTCTTTAGGGGCAAGAGGAGAGGTAGCAGAGGAAATCAGAGATGGGCAGATAACATCGAAGGGAGGAAAAGAGAAAAAGAGACCTAGATAGGACAAATGGGGAGAAGGGAAGAGAGGCAGAAATAACTGGCTTGGAAAAGGAGAGGCTAAGCCTGGTAGCCCACACCTGTAATCGCAGCATTTTGGGAGGCCAAGGCAGGAGGATCACATGAGTTCAGGAATTCCAGACTAGCCTGGGCAACATAGTGAGACCACGTCTCAATATAAAATTGGGTGAACGTGGTGGTATGCACGTGTGGTCACAGCTACTCGGGAGGCTGAGGCAAGAGGATCACTTGAGCCCAGGAATTTGAGGCTGCAGTGAGCTATGATGGTGCCCCTGCACTCCAGCCTGGGCGACAGAGTGAGACCCTGTCTTTAAAAAGAAAAAGAGAGATAAGCATAAAGAAGAGGAGGTGTGGACAGAGAAAGAAGAGTCACCAGAAGACAAAGGGACCTGGGACAGTTGTTTTGGGGCCTTCTTTTTTTTGAGATGGAGTTTTGCTCTTGTTGCCCAGGCTGGAGTGCAATGGTGTGATCTCGGCTCACTGCAACCTCCACCTCCCGGGTTCAAGTGATTCTCCTGCCTCAGCCTCCTAAGTAGCTGGGATTATGGGCATGCGCCACTGTGCCCAGCTGATTTTGTATATTTAGTAGAGACAGGGTTTCTCCATGTTGGCCAGGCTGGTCTCGAACTCCCGACCTCAGGTAACCTGTCCGCCTTGGCCTCCCAAAGTGCTGGGATTACAGGCATGAGCCACCGTGCCTGGCCGAGGGGCCTTCTTAACCTTGGCTGCACATTAGAATTATCTGAGGTGCTTTTTAACAAAGCACAAATTCCCACGTCTCAGGCCAATTTAATCAGAATTTCGGGAGTGGAGTCTGGGCATTATATTTACTGGAGCTCCTCTGGTAATTGGAATGTGCAGCCAGGCCTAAGAACTGCTGGGAGGGAGACAGAGACGTGGAAAAAGGGTTAAAGAGGAAGCTGTGCCTTAAAGGGAGCCCCGTGCAGGAAGAAGAGTCAGAGACTGATTTGGAGACAGAGATACAAAGAATTGGGAGACAAGGCCGGGTGCGGTGGCTCAGGCCTGTAATCCCAGCACTTTGGGAGGCCAAGGCGGCAGGATCACCTGAGGTCAGGAGTTCGAGACCAGCCTGGCCAACATGGTGAAACCCCGTCTCTACTAAAAATACCAAAAAAATTTAGCCAGGTATGGTGGTGCATGCCTGTAATCCCAGCTAGTAGGGAGGCTGAGGCAGGAGAATCGCTTAAACCTGGGAGGTGGAGGTTGCAGTGAGCCAAGATTGTGCAACTGCACTCAAGCCTGGGAGACAGAGTGAGACTCCATCTCTAATAAAAGAAAAAAAAAAAAAAGTTGGGAGACAAGCATTCTTGGAGAAAAACCAGGAAAGGAGAGTGGGTTAGGTGCGGGGCAGCCCAGGCAAATGGTCTCTCATGTTTTTCTCTTTCCCTCCAGGACTGGCTGTGGGCTTGGGGCTGGGAGCGCTGGCCGAGATGGCTAAGAAGTCCCTGCCAGGAGGTCATCTGCAATCAGGTGAGTGAGCCACACTGCCTGGGTTCAGATCCTGGCTTTGCTGTGTGACGGGGGGCAAGTGACTTCACCCCTCTGAGCTCCAGTTTCCTCATCTGGAAGATGGAAGTGATGATAATTTACCCACCTCTTAGAGTCATTGTGAAGTGCTTTGAACAACCCTAAACCACTATCAGGGTCATGATTAAGAGAAGCATATTAGATTTCTTTTCTTTTCTTTTTTTTTTTTTTTTGAGATGGAGTCTCGCTCTGTCGCTCAGGCTGGAGTGCGATGGCACAGTCTCAGCTCACTGCTACCTCCACCTCCTGGGTTCAAGTGATTCTCCTGCCTCAGCCTCCCGAGTAGCTGGGATTATAGGCCCATGCCACCACGCCTGGTTAATTTTTGTATTTTTAGTAGAGACGGTTTCGACATGTTGGCCAGGCTGGTCTCAAACTCCTGACCTCGTGATCCACCTCGGCCTCCCAAAGTGCTGGGATTATCACATGCGCCACTGCGCCTGGCCACATACTAGATTTTCTGAGAAAAAATTTAAGCCATTGGGAGTTCCTAACTCGGAGCAGGAGTGGAAAGCTGAAAATAGAAGTGTCAGCAAGGGTCTGTGTACTTCAGAGATGGAACTAGATGTGTAGCATTTGCGGTTATAAAAAATAAAATAAAAAGCTGAGGGTAGGTGGAGGATCCCTCAACAAGTCAATGTCTTGAACGAGTGGGGGTGGATATTCTAGATTACAAAGAGACGAAAGAGACATTATTTGACAAATGGAGCATCTGAACCATGATTGGATATCATTTTGGAAAATACAGCCGGGGCAAATGGAAAATCTGAATATGGACTGGATGGCAAACTTTAGGGAATCGGTGTTAATTTTCTTACATGTGATTATGGTACTGTGATTGTGTAGGGGAATATCCTTATTCTTAGCAAAGCTTAAGTGCAACTACATGTAAGTGGGTCAGCAAAAAATAATAATAGTAAGTGTGTGGGTACACGCACAGATGAAGCAGAATGGTACCATGTTGAATCGAGGTGGAGGGTGTGCGGGTGTGCAGGTGTTCACGATATCATACATGTGACTTTTCTGTTTGGATTTTTTTGTTTCTTTTTTTTTTTTTTTTTTTTGAGACAGGGTCTTGCTGTGTCACCCAGGCTGGAATTCAGTGGTACGATCACGGCTCACTGCAGCCATGACTTCCCTGGGCTCAGGTGATCCTCCCACCTCAGCCTCCTGAGTAGCTGGGATTATAGACACGTGCCACCATGCCTGGCTAATTTTTTGTATTTTTTGTAGAGAGAGGGTTTTGCCGTGTTGCCCAGGCCGGTCTGGAACTCCTAGCCTCAAGTGATCCTCCCTGCTCGGCCTCCCAAAGTGCTGGGATTACAGGCATGAGCCACCACACCCAGCCTGGATATTTTTTTCAAAATAAAAAGTTGAGGGTAGGTGGAGGATTAGGGTTTGGGTAGGACCAGCCTGAGTCTACACCCAACTCTGCCACTTCCATGCTGTGTGACCCAGGGCTAGGTGCTGCACTTCTCTGAGTCTCTTGCTTTCTCACCTTGAAAATTAAAGGATTGATAGTTCTTACTTCCTGGTGTGATTGTGGGCATTCAGACAGAGAATCCACAAAGACACTTAGGATTTTGCCTGGAACAGGCCTAGATGCTGCACCTCTCTGAGTCTCTTGCTTTCTCACCTTGAAAATTAAAGGATTGATAATTCTTACTTCCTGGTGTGATTGTGGGCATTCAGACAGAGAATCCACAAAGATACTTAGGAGTCTGCCTGGAACAGCTCAATAATGACCTCAATAAAATTTTATTTTATTTCAAATTTTAAGAGATAAGAGTCTTGCTGTCACCCAGGCTGGAGTGCAGTGGTGCAATCATGGCTCACTGAAGCTTTGAACTTCTGGGCTCAAGAGGTCCTCTTACCTTGGCCTCCTAAAGTGCTGGGATTATAGCTGTGAGCCCCCACAACTGGCCTTCAAAATTAATAAAAGCCTAAGAATTGCTTTGTTGTGCTGTGCTTGCTTCAGCATCACATATAAATAAAAATTGAAATGAGACAGAGAAGATTAGCATGGCCTCTGTGCAAAGGTGACACACAAGTTCATAAAGTGTTCACATTAAAAAAAGAAAAAACGCTTTGCCAAAGCTGAAATGTAATTTGCATAGAAACCCAGGTACACATACTTGTAAGTGTATGGCTTGGTGCATTTTCACCAAGTAGATATGTCCGTACCCACAGCAAGAAACCCTAGAACAGCAGCTCTCAAACTGCTTGGACTCAGGATCCCTGCATACCCTTAAAACTGATGAATGGATGAATAAAATGTGATATGCATACGATGGACTGTTATCCAGCCATGAAAAGGAATGAAGGGCTGACACATGCTCCAGTGTATGTGTGAAACACTAAGTGAGGCCGGGCGCGGTGGCTCACGCCTGTAATCCCAGCACTTTGGGAGGCCGAGGCGGTTGGATCACCTAAGGTCAGTAGTTCAAGACCAGCCTGGCCAATATGGCGAAATCCTGACTCTACTAAAAATACAAAAAAGTTAGCTGAGTGTGGTGGCGGGCGCCTGTAACCCCAGCTACTTGGGGGGACTGAGGCAGGAGAATTGCTTGAACCTGGGAGGCGGAGGTCGCAGTGAACCGAGATCGTGCCATTGTACTCCAGCCTTGGAGACAGAGTGAGACACTGTTTCAAAAAAGAAAAAAGAAGCAACAGTGAAAGCAGCCACACACAGAAAAACCATATATTGAATGATTCCATTAATATGAAATGTACAAAATAGGAAAATCTGTAGGGACATAAAGTAGATTAGTGGTTGTCAAGGCCTGGGGAGATTGGGGAAAATGAGGAGTGACTGCTAATGGGTATAGGGTTTCTTTCTTTTTTTTTTTTTCTTTTTTTGAGACAAGGTCTCACTCTATCACCCAGGCTAGAGTGCAGTGGCGGGATCACGGCTCACTGTAACCTCTACCTCCTGGGTCCAAGTGATCCTCCTGCCTCAGCCTCCTGAGTAGCTGGGACTATAGGCGTGCACCACCATGTCCGGCTGATTTTTGTATTTTTTATAGAGACAGAGTTTTACCACTTTGCCCAGGCTGGTCTCAAACTCATGAGCTCAAGTGATCTTCCCGCTTCAACATCCCAAAGTGCTGGGATTACAGGCATGAGCCACCACACCCAGCCAGGTTCCTTTTTTGGGTGGTGTGACTGTCCTAAAATTGATTCTGGTGATGCTTGCACAACTCTATGAATATACTACTAATCATTGAATTATATAATTTAAATGATAAATTATATAGTATGTGAATTATTTCTCAAACTGTTAAAATTAGAATGAGCCCCCAAAGAGCTTGTTTATGTGGGTTATAGTTATTGATGTTTACCATATTAGAGATTAAAACTGAGAAATTTTTAGGTCAAGTGCAGTGGCTTATGCCTATAATCCCAACACTTTGGGAAGCTGGGGCAGGAGGATCTCTTGAGGTCAGGAATTTGAGACCAGTCTGAGTGACATAGCGAGGCCCCATTTTTACAGAAAGTAAAAATATTAGCCAGGCATGGTGGTGCACACCTATAGTCCCAGCTACTCAAGAGGTTGAGGCAGGAGGATCACCTGGGCCCAGGAGGCTACAATGAGCCATGATTGCACCGCTGCACTCCAGCCTGGGTGATAGCATGAGACACTGTCTCAAAAACACAAAAGAATACAGAGATATTTTTAAAATACAAGAGTACACACGTACACATTCCATCAGCTGTCAGCCTGATGATGTCCTCACATGTCCTGAAGCCTCTGGAGAACTCCAGTGAATGTTCTTAGAGACATGAGAGCAGAAAAGGGAAAATAACATCTTAATGTTATGATGAAAATAGTTTGATCTCTGAGACCCCTCTGAACGGTCTCAGGGACCCTCATGGGCCCCTGGCCCACATTTTGAGAATTGTTGCCCTTCTCATGTCCCTACCTGGTCACTCCCCTCACCAAGGGTGACCTCTGTCTTGGTTTCTGGACCCTGGATTTGTTTGACCTTGTTTTGCTCTTTATATCAGCCTAACTGGGTGATGATTTCACGCACCCGGCTGCTTTCACTCAGCATTACATTTTTGAGACCGCCTGGGCTATTGTATGTAGTGGTAGCTCACCGATTCAATACCGTAATAGTTACTCTTTGACTCTCCTGCAATTTGTTTTAATTTACGTTTATTTCTCTTTCTTTTTTTTTTTTTTGTTCGAGACAGGGTCTTGCTTGGTTGCCCAGGCTGGAGTGCAGTGGTGGCTCACTGCAGCCTCAACCTCCTGGGCTCAAGCAATCCTCCTGCCTCAGCCTCCTGAGTAGCTAGGACTACAGGCACATGCCACCATACACCCAGAGACAGGGTCTTGCTTTGTTGTCCAGGCTGGTCTGGAACTCCTGGACTCAAGCTATCCTCCTGCGTTGGCCTTCCAAAGTGTTGGGATTACAGGCGTGAGCCAACAAGCCTGGCCTCTGTATTTCATTTTAGCCATTCCTGTTGGTGTGCAGATGATATATATATATATTTTTTTTAATAGAAAAAGGATGTCATTGTTGCCCAGGCTGGTCTCAAACTCCTGCATTCATCCTGCCTTGGTCTCCCAATGTGCTGGGACTACAGGCGTGGGCCACAGTGATGATATTTGTGGTTGTAATTCTAATGGTTGTTCTCTCCCCAGAGGGTGGTTCTGGGCCGGACTCCAGCCCCTTCCTGTCGGAGGCCAATGCCGAGCGGATCGTGCAGACCTTATGTACAGTTCGAGGGGCTGCCCTCAAGGTTGGCCAGATGCTCAGCATCCAGGGTACAGCATGATCCTCGACCCCGACCCCTGACCTCACTTCCACCCCAGCCCTACCCACCGACAGGCCCCAACTTCAGATACTCACATGGGGGTCCCTCCTCACCTCTTCGCTTACTGCCCTCCTTGTTCCACTGTCTCCCAAGACAACAGCTTCATCAGCCCTCAGCTGCAGCGCATCTTCGAGCGGGTCCGCCAGAGCGCCGACTTCATGCCCCGCTGGCAGATGCTGGTGAGTGCCTGGTGGGGGAGGGCGGTGAGGGAGGCAGGCTCCATCTCCTCCGACCTGCCTGACTCTCCTGGCTTCACTGCCTCACTCCCTCCCTCTGAGCCTCACTTTCTCCAACTGTAAAATGGGGATAACCAAAGTACACACCTCCTAGCATTGCTGTGGTGATTAAAGGAGAGAACAGCAGCCTGACCTCTCGTCATCAGTTCCCTTCCCTGGGAAATGGTGATAGTGACAACCACACCCACATCATAGGGTCACATAAATCAGTTTACACAGAGCGCTGAGAATGGCGCGATTCACCATGAGTGACATGCAGGTGTTAGCTGTGATTATTACTGTTTTTTTAATTAAAGGAGATTGTGTCTGTAAATAGGTTGGCACAGTGCCTGGCACCGAGTAAGTGCCCAGGACATGAGCTGTTCTAATAACTGGGTAAGGCATGGAATCCAGGATTCTGCCACCCACCTGCCCTCCCATCCCTGTTCTGCTTACTCACCATGTGGCCCCAGGCAGGTACTGACTCTCTCTGGGCCACTTTGAATAGGATCTGGCCCACAGGAAGCCCACTGTGAATTTTAGCTCTTCTTGATCACATTAACTGTGAGTTAATAATACCACATAAGAGCATAATAAAGAATGGTTGACCACGTGTGATGGCTCATGCCTGTAATCCCAGCACTTTGGGAGGCTGAGGTTGGAGGATCGCTTGAGCTCAGGACTTCCAGACCACCCTGGGCAACATAGTGAGACCTTGTCTCTACTAAATATAATAACACTAATAATTAACTGGGCACAGTGGCACGTATCTGTAGTCCCAGCTACTCAGGAGGCAGGAAGATGACTTGAGCTGGGGAGGTTGATGCTGCAGTGAGCCGTGAGGGTGCCACTGCGCTCCAGCCTGGGCTACAGAGCGAGACCCTGTCTCAAAAAAAAAAAAAAAAAAAGGATTGTTACGAGTCTTAACTATAAATAATAGCAATCCCCACAACAGCCCAGGGAGTCCAGGTTCAGGGGACACAGGCTGGGCTGAGCCTCACAGTCTGCCAGCGCGGGCCTAGTCGCTTGCACAAGGAAATTCTCTCTGAGCCTCAGTTTCCTCATCTGTAAAGGGGGTGGCAGCTAAGAGCTTAGCCCAGGGCCCTGCGTGTGGTGAGTGCTGGGGTTATCAACACGTAAAGCACTCAGCCTGGGGAATGAACTCTGCCGCAATGATGACGGCTGTGACCACTCCCTGCAGAGAGTTCTTGAAGAGGAGCTTGGCAGGGACTGGCAGGCCAAGGTGGCCTTCTTGGAGGAGGTGCCCTTTGCTGCTGCCTCAATTGGGCAGGTGCACCAGGGCCTGCTGAAGGACGGGACGGAGGTGGCCGTGAAGATCCAGGTGAGAGGGGAGGCCGGGCAGGGTCGAGGCGGGCACCCTGCTAGCCCAGAGGTGTGACTTCCACCTTCCCTCCCTCCCCTCTCCCTTTACAGTACCCCGGCGTAGCCCAGAGCATTCAGAGCGATGTCCAGAACCTTCTGGCGGTACTCAAGATGAGCACAGCCCTGCCCGCGGGTGAGGCGCCCACTCACTCCTCTGCTGACCTCCGGAAGGGGCTATGCCCACAGAGAGCAAGCAGGAGGGGGAGCCCAGAGGAGAGCACAGGCAGGGTGTGCTGGTGCCGTGAGTGGGAGTGTGAGAGACAGAAAGGACACCAAGGCAGGGAGAGCCCAGGGAGCATGAGCAGGTGTGAGAAAAGCCTCACGGATTTTAACAGAGCCCTAGAGAGACGGGAGCCCAGGGCCAAGATCCAGCAGCAGACTCGCAGAGGGTGTGCATGCAGCGAGCGGGGTTGTAGGTGCGGCAGAGCAGAAAAGGACAGTCCTGGGGATGGCACATGAGGAGGCGCCTGAAGAAAGGAGGGCGGGTTGTGTTTGTGTAAGAGATGGAGAGGGACAGGGAAAGCCAGGCCCAGAAGCAAGATTCAAAGGCAGTGAGCAACGTGAGAGTGAGTATGAAGAGGAGACAGAATAGGGGCGAGCGGGTGAGCGTGACTCTGAAAGAGCTGCCAGGGACTGCGGTGCAGGCACACGCAAGAGACAGAGCCCAGGAAAGGCTTCAGAAGACCCCGGGAACCCCGCAGTGCTGTGAAGGACGAGGGAAATGTGTAGACAGATGATACGATGCAGGTCAGAGGCCTGGAGCAGGAGCTGCAGGGGACAGCGGGGGAGACAGGAGAGGGACAGATGCAGGTCAGAGGCCTGGAGCAGGAGCTGCGCGGGAGACAGGAGAGGGACAGATGTGGGTTACAGGCCTGGAGCAGGAGCTGCAAGGGACAGTGCGGGAGGCAGAAGAGGGAGGGTTGGCAGGAGAAGGCATCCACCAATGGGCGCGCCCCGGGCCCTTCCCCGGCTGACACGCCTCCCCCACAGGCCTATTTGCCGAGCAGAGCCTGCAGGCCTTGCAGCAGGAGCTGGCTTGGGAGTGTGACTACCGTCGTGAGGCAGCTTGTGCCCAGAATTTCAGGTGAGCTGAGTCCCCTGGGCTTCCCTCCTTCCTTCCCTCCCAGGCTAGTTGGGAAGTAGCTGCCCCCTCAGCTTCTGGCAGCTGGAGCTGTGGGGTGGGGCAAACTCTCTCTTTCAATCATTGGTCATCCATCCGTCCACTCATCCATCACTTCGCTTACTCCCTTTGTCCTCTGTGAGCTTGGGCAGGTCACTTCCCAAGCGGCAGTCTTCTTCTCTGTGAGATGGGCCACGTACCCACTGTGGTCCGACACAGGCACTTAATTACGCGATGACACACTCTTACCTCCGCTGGACTGACGGAGACCAAGGAGCCCATAGCACTGGGAGGTGGAGAGAGTGGGCTCCACAGCATCCCTTTTGCACCACGGGTTGGGGGAGAAGGTGGTAGAAGCATTTTGAGAATAGGTCGGCATCATCACATAAGCCCTTATATTCACGAACTCTGCAAGCCAACGATTGCCCTCCCTGCTGAACACTCTAGGGACCCTTATGCCAGTATACACCATCAGACTATTCTAGAATGCTCACAGCAGCTCTGTCTGCAACAGCCCCAAACTGGAAACAACCCATATCCATCAAGTTTATCCAGCAGGGTGGACAAATAAACAATGCTGTATTCATCTGTGGAATATTTCATAGCAGTGAAAATGTAGGAACCATGGCTATGTGGAATAATGTGGTTATATCTTGGAGACATCCTGATGTGTAGCAATTAATGGCACCTCAGTGGGATCCTCCACAGTGTGGCTCACACATTTATTGACAGCCTAAAACGTGCCAAGCTCTGTAGACAGAGTGAAAGATCAGTAGAAGGCAGTGGTTAGAAGCACATACTCTAGACTCAGATGTGGAATGAAATCCTGGGTCAGCCCTTACTGGGTTGCATGGCCTGCATCCATACAATCTGTACAGTAGTCTCCAGAGAGCATCCACTCACTGTGGAGTGGGGATGAAAGGGGAGTGTGCCGATTAAATGCCCAGCATGGCTCTGGTTCATGAGGAGCAGTTCAGAGATTTTTATCAACAAGGACAAAAACACAAACCCCAAAGGAGGAGTTTGAGGAGGAGAGTGTGAAGTGGGGTGATGGGCCAGAGACCCCCCATCCCCACAGGATTACCCGGTGCCCTTAGGGTAAAACCCCACACCACCCTCCTGTTCCCCCTCACTTTCCTCCAGCCATCCCATGGGTCGTCAACCAGAGGCCTCGCTCATATTCTCTGCCTCCCAAATCTTACATGGACATACTTATTTTATTTCTTTTGAGACAGAGTCTCGCTCTGTTTTCCAGGAATATAGTGGTGAGATCACAGCTCACTCCAGCCTCGACCTTCCAGGCTCAAGTGATTCTCCCGCCTCAGCCTCCTGAGTAGCTGGGACCACAGGTGCAGGCCACCATGCCCAGCTGATTTTTGTAGTTTTTCATAAAGACGTGGTTTCACCATGTTGCCCAGGCTGATCTTGAATCCTGGGCTCAAGCGATTTTCCCACCTCAGTGTCTGAAACTGCTGGGATTACAGGTGTAAGCCACCGCACCCAGCTAACACACTTACCTCAATCTATAATCCGTCTGTTTGTGAGAATGTGGTCTCAGGGTTGGGGGCCAGGTCCAGGGACTGGTTCATTCACTGCTCTGTCCCCAGCATCATTTAGCACAGGGATGGACACAGAGGATTCTTTCCTGTTATTTACCTGTGTTCAGAGTAGTGATTGCAAGGAGTGACCCATGGGTATCACTGTAGACTTCACAGATTTTGATACCAGTGACTACTATGGGGATGAATGAATTAATAAATTAATGAAAAAAGTAATGCAAAGGCTGAAATACACCTGAACTCATCCTTCTGGGGCAACCAGAAGTCATAGAAGGGTTTCAGGTAGGGAAGTGGTAACTGGGTTTCCAACAGCACCCAGTTTAGGGACAGGTGCAGAGTAGGCACCTTGGAGATACTTGTTAAATCTCAGTCCAGCCAGGTGTTGGTCATCACCCAGGGCAGACAGTGGCAAGAGATGGGCAGGAGGGAGGGCATGGCCCCTGCTGTTCATGGAGGACTTCTGAGAGCACAAGGAGGAGGCCTCAAGCTGGGTCACAAGCCTGAAGCACGAAGTTCCCTTCCTCCCTTCCCTCCTGCCCCAGGCAGCTGCTGGCAAATGACCCCTTCTTCCGGGTGCCAGCTGTGGTTAAGGAGTTGTGCACGACACGGGTACTGGGCATGGAGCTGGCCGGAGGAGTCCCCCTGGACCAGTGCCAGGGCCTGAGCCAGGACCTGCGGAACCAGGTATGCCATCTGGTAGCACAGTGGGAAGGGCATGGCCCCAGGGCGGGTGGGCCAGGCTCATGGTCCCTCTCCAGGCCAGCGAGGGTGCCACAGGGGAGATCACACTAAGATGCCTGCTACTCCTCCCCACCCCAGATTTGCTTCCAGCTCCTGACGCTGTGTCTGCGGGAGCTGTTTGAGTTCCGATTCATGCAGACGGACCCCAACTGGGCCAACTTCCTGTATGACGCCTCCAGCCACCAGGTTGGTTCCTAGTGATGTGTGTCAGGGTACATTTGCTGTTGTAACGACTATTCCTTGATATTTCGGTAGCTCAACACAATAGCAGTTGATTACCCCCACAACAGGCAGGGGTGGCCCTTTTCCAAGTGGTGATTCAGGGACCTGGCTCCTTCCCTTTTGTGGTTTTGCCATCCCTAGAGCCTCGCAATGCTCTGCTTCCCAAGGAGAGGGTAAGAGAGATTGAGAGGGTAGCCCCCTGCCTAACTGCTTTGGCCAGAAGTAGAAAAAGTAATGCCGAGGCTAAATACACTAAGCTCATCCTAGGGCAATGGACATACCACTTCCGTTGCCATTCCATCAGTGAGAGCTAGACACATGGCCTGCCTAGGTGCAAGGCATGCTAGAAAATGGAGTCCCTGGCTAGGCAGTGGTTCCCGGTGGCAATGTGACAGCACAGAGGGGAGGTACAGCTTTTGGAAGGCAGTTAGCCATCACTACCACACTCGTCATCCGTACAGAACACGCCATCACCTGCCCCTGCCTCTTGATAGCAATAAAAAGACATCCCTGACCCTTGCCTTCTCAGAGTGCCCAGTCCAGTGCGGGGGGCCTGGCACCACACAGTGATGACCTAGAGTGGTTCGTACCAACCACAATGAGGAGCACAGGCCAGATGGGTCAGGACCTGGATGGGGGAGGCACAGGCAGAGGGGTGGGGGCTGGAGTTGGGGGAGGCACAGCAAGCTATGGGATCCCAGGGAACGTGCCTGACTCACTGTGGGCTGAGCAGGGATTAAGGGAGGCTTCTTAAAGCAAGTGCCATGAAAGCTGGGACCACTGGGAGGCTGAGGTGGGAGGAATGCTTGAGCCCAGGAGGTCGAGGCTGCAGTGAGCCAAGATCGTGCCACTGCACTCCAACCTGGGTGACAGAGCAAGACTGTCTCACAAAAAAAAAAAAAAAAAAAAAAAGTGAGCATGGTGGCTCATGCCTGTAATTCCAGCACTTTGGAAGGCTGAGGCAGGAGGATCCCTTGAGGCCAGGAATTTAAAACCAGCCTGGGCAACAAAGGGAGACCCCCGACTCTATTTAAGAAAAAAAAAAGCTGAGACGGGACAGGGGAGAAGGAGACAACCATCCAGAGAGCAGAGTGTTCCCAGCAGAGGGCAGGGGGCGTTCAAAGACCTGGAGGGAAGGTTTGGACCTGCAGACTTGAGTGTTGGTGGATACATCATTACCTTTATCAGGGGTTGCCAACTGGTTTTCCAAAGTGGTCTATCTCCATTTTGTCCCCAGAGGGGTCTTTCTAAAGCACAAATCTGGTCAAGATATCCCTCCCACAGCTTCACAGCCCCCTCAGAATCAAGTCTGAACCCTTTGCCGAGCATCTTGTGGCTCCACTGGGTCTCCTCACCCAGGCCTTTGCCCCTTCTTTCTCCACAATGTGCATACACCGTGTCCCAACTCCAAGTGATAGGAGTCCTGACATCAATTTATTGGTTTTCAACAGCACTTTTTTTTTTTTTTGGGACAGAGTTTGTCTCTTGTTGCCCAGGCTGGAGTGCAATGGTGCAACCTCCGCCTCCCAGGTTCAAGCGATTCTCCCACCTCAGCCTCCCAAGTAGCTGGGATTACAGGTGCCTGCCACCACGCCTAGCTAATTTTTTGTATTTCTAGTAGAGATGAGGTTTCACCATCTTGGCCATGCTAGTCTTGAACTCCTGACCTCATGATCCACCAGCACTTTTTTTTTTAATGAAATAGATGATGTCAGTATGTCACAGATGGGAGGGATCCATATTATTTTGGGACACTTTTTTTTGAGACGAAGTCTCACTCTTGTCACCCAGGCTGGAGTGCAATGGTGCAATCTCGGCTCACTGCAACCTCCGCCTCCCAGGTTCAAGCAATTCTCCTGCCTCAGCCTCCCAAGTAGCTGGGATTACAGGCACGTGCCTCCATGCCTGGCTAATTTTTGTATTTTTAGTAGAGACAGGGTTTCACCATGTTGGTGAGGCTGGTCTTGAACTCCTGACCTTAGGTGATCTGCCTGCCTTGGACTCCTAAAGTGCTGGGATTACAGGCGTGAGCCACTGTGCCTGGCCTTGGGACACTTTTGTTTGACATTTATTTGTGCATTTGCATGAACGCCCAGTAGAAACTATAGATATATAAACACACATATATATATACATACATATACTCATATATATATATAAAAAATTATATTTATTTATTTATTTTGAGATAGAGTTTTGCTCTTGTTGCCAATGGAGCCTGAAGTGCAATGGCATGATCTCAACTCACTGCAACCTCCACCTCCCAGCTTCAAGCAATTCTCCCGCCTCAGCCTCCCAACTAGCTGGGACTACAGGTGTGCGCCACCACACCCGGCTAATTTTGTATTTTTAGTAGAGGTGGGGTTTCACCATGTTGGCCTGGGTGATCTTGAACTCCTGACCTCACGTGATCCGCCCCCCTTGGCCTCCCAAAGTGCTGGGATTACAGGTGTGAGCCACTACACCTAGCCACCAGTAGAAACAGTTTCTCACTGTGGGTTGTGGTCAAGTTGTTCAAACCCTACTGCCCTAGAAACATTCTTACATGTGTTCATTGAGCACAAAAATTAGAAACAGGCCAGGTGAGATGACTCACTAATGTAATCTCTGCACTTTGGGAGGCTGAGGTGGGAGGATCACTGGAGCCCAGTAGTTTGAGACCAGTCTGGGCAACATAGTGAAACCCTATCTCTACAAAAAATTTTGCAAACTTAGCCAGGTGTGGTCGGGTGCACCTGTGGTCCCAGCTACCCAGGAGGCTGAGGTGGGAGGATCACTTGAGTGTGACAGTTTGAGGCTGTAGTGAGCCATGGTTGTGCCACTGCATTCCAGCCTGGACAACAGATCAAGACCATGTCTCAAAAAAAAAAAAAAAAATCAGAAACAGAGTGTATAACTAATAAACATATTTAAAAAGAAGGAAAAAAGGCTGGGCGCGGTGGCTCAAGCCTGTAATCCCAGCACTTTGGGAGGCGGAGACGGGTGGATCACGAGGTCAGGAGATCGAGACCATCCTGGCTAACACGGTGAAACCCCGTCTCTACTAAAAAATACAAAAAACTAGCCGGGCGAGGTGGCGGGTGCCTGTAGTCCCAGCTACTCGGGAGGCTGAGGCAGGAGAATGGCGTGAACCCGGGAGGCGGAGCTTGCAGTGAGCCGAGATCTGGCCACTGCACTCCAGCCTGGGCGACAGAGCAAGACTCCATCTCAAAAAAAAAAAAAAAAAGAAGGAAAAAAAAATCAGAAACAGCCACAGTATTCCTCAGCCAGATAAATGCACTATGATAGATTCACACAACGAAGTCCTTACACAGCAATGTGAAATGAGTGACTGAGCTGGAGCGACACATGGCAACAAAGATAAATCGCAAAATCATGCTGGGCAAAAAGCGCAAGTTGCAGGAGAACAATAGTAAATACCACTTTAGTGAAGTTTGAAAATATGCACACCATTACTGTAGATTGTTCACGGCTGTACACATACACAGAAAATACAGAAATGCATAAATGAGAATTTCAGGAAATAATTTAATAATGATTGCAGGAAAGTGGTAGCCCTGGGGACCTAGGGAAGGTGTGATCAGTGGAGGTGTGATTGGGGGAGGTGTGATCAGGGGAGGTGTGATCGGGGGAGGTGTGATGGGGGAGGTGTGGTCGGAGGAGGTGTGATTGGGGGAGGTGTGATCGGGGGAGGTGTGATTGGGGGAGGTGTGGTCAGAGGAGGAGGTGTGATTGGGGGAGAGTGTGATTGGGGGAGGTGTGATCGGGGAGGTGTGATCGGGGAGAGTGTGATTGGGGGAGGTGTGATGGGGGAGGTGTGATGGGGGAGGTGTGGTCGGAGGTGTGATTGGGAGGTGTGATCGGGAGGTGTGATCGGGGAGGTGTGATCGGGGGAGGTGTGATCTGCGGGGAGGTGTGATCGGGAGGTGTGATCCAGAGGAGGTGTGATCGGGGGGAGGTGTGATCGGGGGAGGTGTGATCGGGGGAGGTGTGATGAGGGCAGGATACACAGGAGGCTCCACATGGATGGGAGTATTTTTTTTTGAGACGGGGGTCTCACTCTGTTGGGGAGGTGTGATGAGGGCAGGATACACAGGAGGCTCCACATGGATGGGGAGTATTTTTTTTTTTTGAGACGGGGTCTCACTCTGTTGCCCAGGCTGGAATGCAGTGGTGCAATCCGGGCTCACTGCAACCTCCACCTCCCAGGTTCAAGTGATTCTCCTGCCGCAGCCTCTCGAGTAGCTGGGATTACAGGCACGCACCACCACACCCGGCTAATTTCTGTATTTTTAGTAGAGACAGGGTTTCACCATGTTAGCCAGGCTGGTCTTGAATCTCCTGACTTCATGATCCACCCACCTCGGCCTCCCAAAATGCTGGGATTATAGGCGTGAGCCACCACGCCCAGACGGATGGGGAGTATTTTATATTTTAGGCTGGGTGCTGGGTGGTGGGATTTGTGGGTATTCATTTTACTTTTCTGTATATTTTATTACACTCTCGATTTTTTTTCTGGGTCTAAAATTTGTTATTGCATAAACAATTAGAACTAAAAAAATAAAAGCCTTCAGCTACCTTCTGGGGGTGGGTTGGAAATGTGGAGATGAGGCCAGGAGCCCAGTCAGGCAGCCAGGCAGGGACTCTGGCAGGAGCGGGCAAGGTCATGGGGAGGAAGACAGATCCTGGCTGCCCCAATAGATGGTGGGCGTGTGACTGGGATCCCAGCATTCCTTTCACCATTCCTTGCTTCCAGGTGACCCTGCTGGACTTTGGTGCAAGCCGGGAGTTTGAGACAGAGTTCACAGACCATTACATCGAGGTGAGTCTCCCCCAGACCCCAGAGCCTCTGAAAGGCTGAGGCTCAGGCCATATACTGAGGCAGAGGAGTAAGAAGGAGAAATGCAGTTTCTGGAATTAAGAAATAACAAATAATAGTAATACTTGTAGCAACTAGCACACACCACGCACTTAATATGTCAGGCTCCATCTTTAGTGCTTACGTATAGTAACCGATTTAAACCACACAGCAACACAATGCGGTAAGGACCATTTTTAGGCCCATTTTACAGATGAAGTAACTAGGTCCTAGAGAGATTAAGTCACCTCCCCAAGATCACAGCAGACTTGGGATTCAAATTCAGGTAGTCCAGGTCCAGAGTCCAAGCTTCCAACCACTGCCCAGCTCCCTCCTAAGAGGAAGGCCCACAGTGACCATCTTGTCACCTCTCCAGACCCCACGCTGTCCAGGGCCCTGGTGTCCAGCCCAGGTGTGTGTCCCTGGGGGCAACTGTCTACAGGAGGTGCTTCCTCACGTACTTTGCTTATCTCTCCCACCCACTGGGGTCAGTTTGTCTTGGAGGCTGCAGAGAACACCATTTCCTTAATTGTTGAGATTAGACATTTGCCCTGGGTCCTCTAATCATGTAGCCATCAATCTAAACGTTTTCTTTTCTTTTCTTTTCTTTTTTTAATTGAGACAGAGTCTTGCTCTGTCACGCAGGCTGGAGTACAGTGGTGCGATCTTGGCTCACCACAACCTCCACCTCCTGTGTTCAAGCAATTCTCCTGCCTCAGCTTCTCAAGTAGCTGCGATTACAGGCGCATGCCACCATGCCCGGCTAATTTTTGTATTTTTAGTAGAGATGGGGTTTCACCATGTTGCCCAGGCTGGTCTCGAACTCCTGACCTCAGGTGATCCTCCTGCCTTGGCCTCCCACAGTGCTGGGATTACAGGCATGAGCCCCCCTGCCCAGCCAATCTAAATGTTTTCTGACCCCTCTCTGTGCCCAGCTGTATTCTAGGCAAAGCTGGAGACACAGCAGTGACCTGGGCCCAGCCTAGGCCCCTCCTCACAGAACTCATAGTCCAGTGAGGGGACAGTGAGGACCCAGCATGGATAAGGCTGGGATGGGGGAAGCACAGGGGACTGTGAACCCAGAGGAGGAGCCTGACCCAGCCTGGGGAGCCAGGGAGGGCTTCCTGGAGGAGGGATTGTCAGCGTCGAGACCTGAGGGATGAGGGGAGCCAATTGGGAAAAGGCTCAGAGGGTATTCCACGTAGACAACATGTGCCAAGGCCAGGCGGTAAGGGATATTCCCATTAGAGCAGCACTTCTCAGACTTGGATGTGCATGTGAAGCCTGGCGATCCCGTGCAGGTGAAGATTCTGGTCTGGAGGTGGGTGTAAGATGCTGTGTTCTGACACGCGCCCACGTGATGCCAAGGCTACCCGTATGGGGACCACACTTGTAGTAGTAAGGCCCTAGAGGACCCAAAGGAAGCTCCCATTCTGACTGGGAGGGCAAGTGGGGGAGCAGCACAGGAGCCAGTGACGAGGCTGCAGCAAATCACTGTGGGTTTTGGAGGCCGCGCTCTGCAGCTCGTACTGTATCCAGGTGCCCTGCAGAGCCGTGGAAAAAGATTTGAGCAGGGAAAGGATGCAGTTAGAATTTGAAAACTCCCTCTGAATAAGAAGTGGTCTCTAAACCTGGGGGCTGGGAGCCCGGGGCAGCTGTGGAGAGGGGCAGAGGGGTGGCTGGGAGATGTCCAGCTGGTAATCCATGGGAGCAGACAGGCTGGAAGTCAGCGATGGAGGTGTCCAGGGATTTGGCCTGGGGACTGGGGGGGCCACCTCTGAGATGGGAACAGGAAGAGGAGGTGATAACCCCTTACACATGGGCCCGTTGGGGCCCTCTCCGCAGGCCACTGAGGCACAAAGCCAAGGCCCTTCGGGTAGCTGGGACATTTTGCTCCCCACTGACACCCTCCCCTTCTACCCAGGCCTTCAGCCTTTGCCAGTTTATAAAAGCCCCATCACACCAGCTTCTGAGGACCACAGGCCTGACAGATGGCCAGACAGGCTCGGGCAGGGGGAACAGAGAGAGAATGGAATTAATCCCGAACCCCTCTCCTTACAAAAACGGGCAACCCAGTGGTGAGGGGTGTGACCCAGGTTCCAGTCCCTACTCCAGGTCTGCTTCCCCTTCTGTGAAATTGGGACCCCCGTGCCTACCTCTTAATAATGGTAGATTATAATATTTTCGGTGCTTCCTGCATGAGACACAGCGCCAGGCATGCCACAGGCATCACCTTCTTTATCCTCCCAACAGCCCCATGAGGAAGACACTTAGCATCCCCACTTCACAGATGAGAAAGTGGAGGCCCAACAGGCCGGCAGGTGGCAGAGCTGGGATGGAGCCCTAGCCAGCTGGCCCCAGCTGGGTGTCTGTCTATGCCCACAACTCCTGCCCTGTGTGTATGAGCTTATGGCTGGAGAGCTGCTCTGCTCCACACACTCATTTGCTAAAGCAAGGTTCACCCAGGGCCTCCTGAGCACCAGACCCTGTGCCCCATGCAACTACACCCAACTGGGATCCTTGCTCTCACAGGGCTTAAAGTCCAGTGCGGGAGACAGAGAGGTGGCCCCTGGCAACTTTGGATGCACTTCTGGGTCACGCTCACACCCGTCCAGTTGAGTGTTTGGACCCACCAGCAGCCCTGACACTTGTTCCTTGCACTGTTTCACTGTGGCAGTTCCCGGGCAGGCCCCACATTGCCAGCTAGGCGGGCAGGATCCCTGCCCACCTCCACTCCAGGCTCTGGAACAGTCTTTAAGGGAGTCACAGACTGGCAGAGTGGGGAGCAGGAAGCTTCCAGGTGAGGGAGGGCCCAGGCAGATGAGAATGGAGGTGGATACACGGGAAGCCCAGGCTTCCAGCTCGTCTTCTTCAGAGCCCCCTTGAGCCCCGACCTTTGTCCCTCTAACTCCCACCCGTCTCCCCAGGTGGTGAAGGCTGCAGCTGACGGAGACAGAGACCGTGTCCTACAGAAGTCCAGGGACCTCAAATTCCTCACAGGCTTTGAAACCAAGGTGGGGAGACACTGCAGGAGAAAGAGTCGGGTGTCTATTGGTGGGGTACAGTGGGGGGCTGCTTATCTCCACTGAGGAACTCGAGTGGGGTATGGGGCATGTCTATACCTGGGGACTGGGGGCTTTAGGAGGGACTTGTCTCTACTAGGGAGAATAGAGGCTCTCTGTCTATACCCAGGCAGTGGGGGACTCTAGGATGGATGCTTATTCATGCTGGGGGCTTTGGGGAGGAGTGGGAGGAGTGGGGGGAGGCGGCTGCCTGACTCCTCAGGAACCCTAGGAACATAGGCACTGTGGATCTGTTCAGGAGGGGCAGGGGCCGCTTCTCTATTGTAGAGAGAGTAGAGGGCGACTTGTCTGTTGGAGGCTCTGCGGGGAAGCGAGGGGTGCTTACTCGGGGAATAGGGAGCTGCTTGTCTAATCCAAGTTCTAGAAGGAGCGGAAGCTGCTCACTCTTGGGGGAGTCCGGGCTTGTGTTGATGGTGGAGACTGGAGGGAGTGGAGGCTACACGTTGCTTCTGGGTTATGCCGAGAGCTCTATGTCCACACTGGCTGCCTTTGCTGTCCCCCCCGCCACCCCACCCCCAGGCATTCTCCGACGCCCATGTGGAAGCAGTGATGATCCTGGGGGAGCCCTTCGCCACCCAGGGCCCTTATGACTTTGGGTCAGGGGAAACTGCCCGCCGCATCCAGGACCTCATCCCGGTGCTGCTGCGGCACCGGCTGCGCCCCCCACCCGAGGAGACCTATGCCCTGCACCGCAAGCTGGCAGGGGCTTTCCTGGCCTGTGCCCGCCTCCAGGCCCACATCGCCTGCAGGGACCTCTTCCAGGACACCTACCACCGCTACTGGGCCAGTCGCCAGCCAGATGCAGCCACTGCCGGCAGCCTCCCCACCAAAGGAGACTCCTGGGCGGATCCCTCATGACAGCCTCCATGGGGGATTCAGTCCCCAAAGCAGGCCATACCCTGCTGTAGTGCCTCTTAGCCCTTCCCCATCTGCCCTGGGTCAGGGGAGCCCCCTGGGCTGCCCAGTCTTGCCTAGCTCTCCTCCTTGGCCCGGGAGCTCAGGATCCCTGGGGCTGGGGAACTCCCAACTTCGTGCCCTAGATCCTGCACCTCCCCACTCCAAAGTGGGCATCCGGGAACTCTAAGCCAGGGAAGCAGTTAACTTATCTGTGCCAACATTTGAGGGAGCCTTGGGCCCCTGCATGTCGTTTTCAGATCCGGACTCATCACGGGGAGCCCTCACCTCTGCCTCAAGTCTCCCGTGGAAGGTGAGATGGTGGTCCTGGAGGCAGTCCTCACCTCTGCCTCCCTGGCTCCTCCAACAGCTCCCTTCTCCCGGGTTCCAGCCTCTCAGTGTGTTGGAGAGGTAGGGGTGCGGGGGGAGGGGGGAGCTGAACCTTCAATCGGAATAAAAGCAACCCTCCCCTTCCCCCAGCTCTTTTCTCTGCGCTAGGGTTCCGAGGAGAAGGGGAGGAGCTCGCCAGCGGCCTCCAGGTGCAGATGGCCAGCCCCCCCCCCACCCCCTTGTCTGAAAGCCCCAGCCCTGCCTGTGCCATCTGTTGCCGGGAACCTCCTTCTCGTCTTCCCCACCCCCCCACGTGCTGACCACCTGCTCTAAGGGCTGTAGCAGCTGAGGCCTCCCCCACACACAGTGCCTCTTGGCTGGAGGCTCCCTCCCCTCGCTCCCGGCAACCTCGCCTTTACTAATGGGCTCTAATGTCCCTGCCAGCTGCTTTGCCAAACCCACAGGATTGGCGTAGGGCGCGGCGGGGGCGCCACAGCGGCCAGAACCGCGCCCTGGTCCCAGCCCGGCGCCCCCGTTCCCAAAGCCGAACCGATGGCGCACCAGGACGCCTTGGTCTGTTCACACCCCCTCCCCTTGCTTGCAAAAAGTGCCTCGTCACCGCTTCTGCCCGCCCCCGCCGGGCTGGGGAACCATGGGGTTAGCGGGAAGATTTGGGGGTGTGGGGCGGCAAGGCGCCTCCAGAAGCAACTCTTTCGGACGCGGAGCTGGAGGGGATCTGAGGTCAGGGGTCACGGAGGGGAAGGGAGTCCAGGCCAGGATGGACCGGGGGAACGACTCGGCGATGTTCATTGGCATGCTGAGCCCGGGACTGGCCAATGGGCGTGGCGGGGCGGTGGCCGCGCCGGGGAAGGCGGGGTGGTGTCTGCGTGGGGGCGGGGTCTGCAGGCCAAGGGGCGGGGCAGGGCCGGCAAGGCGCCGGGGCGGGGCGGGGCCTTTCTGCATATACGGCAGGCGGCGGGCCAATGGGCGGGGCCGGGGCGGGGAGCCGAGGCCGAGGGACGCTCCCCCGCCCCCGGAACGGAATCCTCCCGGGAGCCGAGCAGGCTCGCGCGCGTGCATCCCGCACCATCCCCCGGCCCCGGGCCCTGGCCCGCGTCAGACCGAGCTGCCGCCGCCGCCACCGCAGCAGCAGCAGCAGCAGCAGCAGTCGGGGAGCCGGGCCCAGCCAGGGCCGCGGGAGGCGGGGGCGCCCGGGCCCTGGATGTCCCGCAGCGCGGCGGCCAGCGTGAGAAGGGCGGGAGAGGGGGGCTCGGGTCGGGGGCGGCGCCGCTGCTGATGTGGCGGAGGGTGGGAGGCGGCCGCGGCGCCCGGATGGAGAGAGGGTGCCAAGGCTGGAGAGGGTGGTCCTGGGTGGGGGTCCAGGAACAGGCCCAACAAGCCAAAGCCCAGGAGACCAGGGTCTTGGGCACAGACCCCTGGGCCATCTCTTGCCAAGGCCCTGGAAATAGGGATCCTGGACACAGACCCCCCACAAAATCAAGGACAGGGGTACAGAGATTCTAGGTACAACTCCTAGAACTAGATGGGGATGGAGATGGGGTCGGGGATACAGCCCCCGTATCAAACCAAGGCCTCCAGGAGGTGATTCCAGACACAATCCCTACCTCTCCCTGCCTAAGGGGGTCTCAGCACAACTACTCCCTAGGCACGGTCTCAAGGATGGGGTCACTGCGTACAGCTTTCCCACCACGCCAGGGCATGGGGGGACTCCAAGCACAGCCTGCCCCCAGGCCTCAGAGGCACCCTGGGCACAGCATCCCCCCAATCCTTGGGCGGTGTCCCAGGCACAGCCCCTTCTCAAAACAAGGTCCCGTGCCTGGGACTCCACCCCACCCCAGCCTGAATAAAATAAGGACAATTTCAGGCAACCCCCAATCCCTCCACCCCCTGGCTTGGTCAAAGGTCCCAGGGCACAGAACCCCTGGGCCACCCCCTTTGTCCCCAGGGCTGCCCAGCTGTCCAAGAGTGGCCCCACCCACAGACAATGCACCGCCTCCCCCTCCCGGACCTGGCCCCTCAGGCTCCAGCATACAGGCTGGGCTGGGGGCGGCTCCCCAGGGACCGGGTGCAGCCCTGTCTGTCTGCAGCGTCTGCGGTGACGGTGACGGCGGCTTTGTGTGTGGTACCTGGGGGGAAGGGGGGAAGCAAGCAATGGGGAGGTGGCTAGGAGTGTGCCCTGTGTTTGTGTGGCTGTGGCTGTGTATGTGTGTGTGTGCACGCGTACGCTGCGGCTGGTGACTGAGGAATCCTGTGTGTGTGCTTGTGGTGGTGTCTATGATTGTGTCTGTGTGTGACCCTAGTATTTGACTGTGTATGTGTGTGTGACAGCTGCTTACTATGCAGAATCCTGTACTTTTTAGTCTGACTGTGTTTGGAGGTGTGCATGGTTGTGACTGTGGTTGTCTGTGATTATGTCTTTTGTGACCCTATGTTTGTATGCCTCGGTAACTATAACTGGGTATGTGACAGTATGTGTTGAGTCTGGGGGTGGGCATGCATGTGACTGACAGGATGTGGGTGGAGTTGTGACTGTGTGTGTGAGTGGAGTTGTCTATGGCTCCATGTGCATGTGTGACCCTCCCAGTGACTGACAATGTTTATAGTTGTGTCTCTACCTGATTTTATATACATGAGTGACACACACCTGTCTGTGCAACTCTGCCTGTGTGACTGCCATTGTATCTGAAGTCACATTGTGTCTATGTGCCTGGGGTTGTGTGACAGTATTGTGTATGACAGTGGTTGCGTATGCAGAACCATGTCTGAGTGTGTGACTGGGGTTGTATTAATATAAATGACTATCTGGCTGTGTGTGTGATAATGAGTGATTATATGTATTTCTAGCCTTGTATGTGTGATTTGGGTTATGTATTTGACTGTCTGAAACCCTGGCTATTTAAAAGGATTATTTGTGTGTGACTAAAGCTATGGATGTGTCTCCGTATTGGTGCCAGGAAATTATGTTTGTAGGGGTGTTTATGTGACTGTGGCTTCCATATTACTGTGTATGACCTGCATGTCTGTGACCCTGGGTGACTATAGATGTTTGTGTCTATGTCATCACCTGTGAGAGTTTGGGGTCTGTAGTTGTGTGCCTGTTTTTGTCTCCGTGTGTATGTGCTGGACTACCTGTGTTTGAATGTATGATTTGGTGATGAGATTGGCCCCTGACTGTGCACATGGCTCCATCAGGACCTGTGTCTTCTGTGGAAACCCAACTATAAATGCCACGTCCTGGTCACTGCATTTCTGTGCCTACGCTGGACTGTGTACTTGTGACGTGGGAAACTAAAACTGTGCGCTTTTGTCTCTATGTGTGAGACATGTGTATAGGTGGGGCTTATGACTTTGTGCACCTGTCCACACGGGGCTGTGATTCTGTGTGGCCACATACTTGTCTGTGTGACTTGTGTGCCTGCATGAAAAAAGGCTATATGTTTCACTGTGTTGGAGTGACATGGTACAGCTGTGTATGGGACACTGGGTGACGGGATTATGACCATGATAGGTGGCTGGGTCACGTGGACATTGATGCTGTGGCCATGCCTACAGGACCACCATGGCTGTGTCTTGAGGGTGGCCATTCTTGGGGATAGTTGTTTGTGGGTGGTTGCGTGCTGTGGCCATCAGTACCTCCGTGTGTGGTTGTGTATAGAGGACTGTCCCTATGAGTATGGCTGTCACAGTAGACTGTGTGACTGATGCTGTGACCAGATGTGAGCACCTATGACTGGGTATGTGTGATTATGTGACAGTGTGTGACCAAAAACAGAGTGTTGGTGTGACTGGTCTGGTTGAGGCTGCATGTCCACGTGCAGCTGTGCCTGCATGTGGTCTCCGTGGGACCAAATGTGTGCCTGTCCGTGTGCATCTGTGACCAGATGTCAGTGTGCAGCAGCGGAGATACATGTGACAAGTGTGTATAGCTGCAATTGTGTGTGCGGGACTGGGTCACCAAATGGGTGAACTCCGGGTGTGATTCTATCTGGGTGGGCCTGTGACATCAGTGTCTTGGACGGGTGCCTGAGGAAACATAGCTGTCACTGGGTGTGGCCGTGCATGTGCGGCTCTAGTGGGTGTGTCTGGGCCCCGTTATTTGTATATGGCTGAGAATGTGGATGGAAGTGACCAGATTTCAGTGGGTGGTGTGAGCAGGTGTCTGTGGTGGGGACTAAGTGGGCTGGGACGTGCTACACGTATGTGGACAGATGTCTGTAGTAAAGACTATGTGTGTCTGAACGTGAATATGTGGCCAGATGTTTACGGTAGCAGCTTTCTGGGGTTGTGACTGTTTCTGTGTATCTGCGATCTAAGGTATGTAGCTGTGATTCCATCTCTGTGTAACCAAGTATATAGGGCTATTGCCGGATGCTAGGGACACCTGTAGATACGTGGATACATACAGCTGGCTGCATACGTGTATAGCCCTGGACATGCATCTAGAGGGCAAGGCCACTCTCATAGCATTCCCTTGGGCAGTGAGGCTCTCCTGAGGCCAGCACATCCCCAACATATGCCCCCCAAACATACCTACTTCTTCCTGGGCCCTTGGAACCAGGTGGCTGATCTCCCTGGTAACAGTTGCTAGGACAACTAGGACTGTCATCAGGGAGCCCAAGTTGGAGGGGGCTGACTGAAGTCCCAAGTTGGGGTGAGGTATCAGACTGAGCCCCACCCCAGACAAACTTCTCACCTTGTCCTCCCCTACTCGGGCAGGGCGGACCCCGGAGGCCTGAGCGGCACCTGCCCCCAGCCCCGTGTGGGGCCCCGGGGCCCCCAGAAACCTGCAGGACGGAGCCAGGTGAGTGACCAGCCTGGGACATGGCAGGGCTGAATGGGTATGTGGTCTTGCCTAGCATGACCAGAGGAGCTGTCCCTGCGGTCACATGGGCTTAATCACATTCATGAGTGGACCCCCTCAGGCATCTTCCTCAGCGACTGCCAGAGTCCCACTCATGCACAGAGCCACACCCTGACACCCTTACAGCCTCAAGTGCAGGGCCACACTCAGCCACTCACCTCTGTAGACATACAGTTAGACACACACACACACAAACACAGATCTCTTTCAGATCACACACACTTGCTAATGCAGTGACACTCGAACACGTGCTTAAGTAGAT